CTACTTTGGCATTTCACCGAGCCACTGATTCCTATTATAATTCCAATTTACTGCAGTAATTGTTACAATTTCAAGAGACATTAATAGGTGAAATAAGTTGTTTGTACCTACAATTAATTTTAAGCACATAAGAACTCATAGAGTTGATAGCTGTGTGAGTACTTTCAACAGTTTTAAAGTTAATCTGTATGAATCAAGAGATCTAAAGGAAAGATTTATAAATAAAACTTCTTTTCCAACAAGCTCTTATTTAATGAAGCTGTCACTGGATTTGGTTAGAGTCCTTTCTTAAAAAATAATTATTACTTTGCTTTTAAATTTATATACCATAATTGAACATATTTGTTGGTATTGAGTAAGAGTTGGTACATGTATATATTATATAAGGATTGCACAATAGTATTTACCATAGCCAACACCTAAAGCTTTATTATTTCTTTTGGCAAAAACATTAAAGTTTCTCCCTTCAGTAATTAAGATCCCCACTGCAATATTATCAATTAGCAGTGCTCATCTGTGCTACAGATTAGGAGAATTTATTCCTCCTGGTTAGCTTTACTTTTGTTTCTGTTGACCAGGCCTCCGCCATCTTCTGTCTTCTATTCTCCTCAAATCCTGGTAACCCCTACTGTGTTGTGGACTGCTGTGAGATCAGTTTGAATTCCAGCTTTATCAAAGCCATGGGTTGGTGGTATAACTAGGGAAATTTGGTCTAATTATTGTATAAAACAAAGACGAAGGACGTAGACAAAGCAGCCAGCTGGACACTAAGCCAAAAGTGTTAAGATGAACCTCAGAAAACATCTTGTTCAATGATTCCAAGTTAATGGTAAATAAATAGGAAAAGAGGTATAATATAGCCAAAATATATAATGATTTTTCTGTCAATTAAGAACTTCTCTGTGGATAATTGCTCCTATTAAAATGACAACATGTATATCTCTTCCAAAGGGGAGAAGAAAATGAGGAAGAAGTGGAAGGGCAGGGAAAATGGAAGAAGAAAGAAAAGAAAAGAAAAAAGATAACAATGATTTTCAATTCACTCTCAAACACATCAACAAAACTAGAAAGCAGGCTGATGTTTAGTCCAAAGAATGATGTTAGAATTGAAACTCCACTAATCACTCAAAAAATTGCTTTTCAGAATCATCTCTGCAGAGTCATTACATGATGTTATATATAAGTCTAGTAAGTGAAAAACATGTGGGTGGTTACAGATCTGAACCCTAACACATCCCTGCCTTCCATATACTTGTGGTCAAAGTGCTAAGAATACTCATTTTTACTCTTAGTTCTACAATTTAGCCTTGACGATTCATCTTGATTGACAGCCAAGGTCAGTAATGGTTTCTAAAGACTACCACCTCATCCAGTGTGGGAGATGGAGTGTGTTTACCTGTTATTTGGTTCTAGAGCATAAATGCTTATTTATACACCACTGTGGGTGGCCTGTTGTAAGCAGCAGGGCAAATGCGTAAAATAGACATTGATCTTTACAACTGGCTGTGAAGTAATGGAGACAGGACTTTTCCATGTTTCAAATGGAGACACTGAAGGTCTGAGAGAGTGAGCAATCATAGAACAAGAATGTAAAACAGCCGCCTAAGTGTGAACTGAAAGACAAAATGATGCCTTTAAAATAAAAGGCTATCCTAGATATTCCATGAATCGTATTTATATTACATAGCATTTCACTGTTTATCTGAGATTAAATTTAACTAGAAGTCATTTTACCCAGCAACCTTATAGAGAAGTGACATAACTAAGGTCATAGGTCAATCCCAGGATATGACATAACTTTCTGACATTATGACTCAACCATATGTAGTCTTCCTTCTCCATTTCTATTTAGCTTTCTTATCATCTGACTATAACCTCAATTATGCTCTTTAATGTCTTAGATCAGGTGAATGGTCGGCATGAATAAGTTATTCGAGTTGGTACATACACTTGTCCTTTGAAAGTACTCTCTACCTCACTGACCACAATAACCCTTACAGGTTAAACTAAGGAATAATTACTGTTTTGCTTTAGACTTGCTGAGTAGGACTCACAAAGCTGAAGAGAACTACCCAAGGTCCCACTGCTCCTAGGGAAATACCTGCAGGAAGGACAATTTCTATCTGGGAGAGCCTAGTGAAGAAGTTTTGATACTGACTTAGTGGGAAAAGTGGTTGATACATAATTATGAGAATCTGGTTTGTATTTCCTGCAACAATGTAACAGTCAGGCCCTCATATGTCACCATGATGCTAAAGGGGTGGCTATGCAGACAGACTGACTTAGGGCTCATTGGCCAACCTAGCCTAAAAGGTGAGCTGCAGGTTCAGTGATAAACTGTTTCTAACTTAAAAATATAAGGTGGAAAGCAAGTGAGGAAGACATCAAACATTGACTTATGGCCTCCAAAGACTCATTCAAGGGGTTGGGGGGTGATGCATTTGCACACACAAGTCTACGTACACACATAGACAAAAAGTATAGCACCAAATGTGGTCTTCTGTTTCTAATCATTGGGAAATAGCATTTAAAGTTAATGATAAGCCTCTCTCTACTAGTCTGATCATTAGAGAGGAGTATAGATTATTGAGACATTTATAAGAATTTACTGCACTTAAAAACGTATGACTTGGGTAATATGCTAATGTAGTGAAAACATTTCCTAGCAAAACCAAAAACATGCTATTTCTCTTAAAATGATGACACTCTCTTACTGTCTTTGCTGAAGAAATATGGTTCTATTTTATCATTACTGTTATGAAGACCAAGTCAGCACTGGAACCACTGATGCAGAAATTGCATGAAGTGTTACCCGTATAACATATGAGAGATTTTAAAGAGTCTTCTGAAAGTAGCTGAATTTACCCTGACAGTATTCTGCTGAGTCAGTCTGTCTGCTAAACCCTACTTAAAAATGAGGTGTTGTGGTTGGACACAGGCAGGCTTCTATAACCAGTGTTGTGAAAAAATGACAAGTATTTGGCTGAATTTAAAAAAAAAATCTAAAGATCTATTCCAAGGTATAGTGGAAAATGTCAACACACTTGAAAATATTTGATTATGGCTCAAAATAACTTAAAGAAGCCCCTTACTTAGCATCCAAAATAAAAGAATCACAGAATGCAATTAATAAGTTTAAGAATTAAATGTTATTTGTAATAATATGCGTCCTTGAAAAGGGTTCAGAGCACAGCATATCTTTCCTCCACACCTCTATCCATGTCATCATTTCCTTTTGTACACACACTTGCTCTTGTGCTATTTCTCTCCCGTGGCCCTATTTTGTCTTCTCCGTGCCATTCATTTCTCTCTGTTCTTGGTACTTTGTTTTCTTAATATGCTAAGTTAAAAAAATACTTTATTATTTTTATTTTATGTGTATGAGCGTATTGCCTCAGAGGTCAGAAGAGGGCTTCGGATTCCCCTAGGACTGAAGTTAAGGACGGTTTGTAGCTGCTTTTAATCACATCAGTTTCTTCTACTGTATATTTATGGAATTTTAAGTGAGACAATATTTTAGAAGATTCAAAAGCTACATGTTATTAGTTAATGATACATATATTGTTATATTCGTGGATTACTGGACATGACACCAAGTATCAATTTCTATATTGAAAATTTGTACTTGAAAACATTTTCTAAGACATTTTGTAAAATCGGTCTTAAGCTTACCTTATCAGCTTTATTGTATACATGAATGCTGTTGGTTTTCCTTGATATTTCAATTCCCTAATATGCAATATTTAACATTTAACAAGCAACAAGAGTTTTAGAAGTATTGTATTATGCTTTATAAAATTTCTGTGAGGAGAAAAATTATATTATTATAATCTGTATATCTTTCACACATCAAATATTAGCAATAATACTTTTCTGCAATCTATTTTCAATAATATGAACTTGGCTTTTTCTAGTACACTGACATTTGCAACTGCACAGAGGTTGTAAAGTCTTTTTTGTTCAATCTTTTATACTTAGATACTTTTATTTGTTTCTGTTACAATACAAAGTTGAACATAATCAAATTCTTATCTCACTTATTTTTCTGTGATATTTCGCCTTGACAAATTCAGTTTTTAAAATATAATTAGAAAACATAAATCACAAAAATTCTCCAATTTCAGGTCATATTGTGGCCACTGAACACCAAATTACCTTCTAGTACACAGAGAACAATTCAGGTCATGCCTTTCAGAAAGAAAATGCGTTTTGTGTTTGTCAGCTTGCTGTAAAGGGGAAGGAGCTGAAAAGACCACCGGGCACTTCACTGAAAGTGTGTTCAGTAGGGTTTCAGAATTGACTAGTGATTTGTTTTCACTTTTGTTACAGAAGTTAGTGTGTATTTCTCCTAACCCTCACTTAATGGAATAAAGAATATTATGAAATGTTTTTATTTCAATTCATAAAATATATCCATCTACACCGAATATGTGTAGTTACTGAGAGCCCTCAAAAATCGATTCCAACTTGACAGAACAATTGAAAGCTGTATATGGTTTGTAGCTCCATCTTATTTTCTGTCATACTCATTTTAACAAATACAAATTCCCTGGTCAAAGAACAAGTGCTAACACTTTTTCTTAAAATATACATTTCAACTGCAGAACCAAAATCTGGACAGAAATATTTTAACTGGTTTTTAAAAGGTCTGTTCATTACTGTACTGTGGCTGAGTTTCAGCTATTCTGAGTTGCTGAACTCTAATTGTAGATTTGTTTCAGGACTCCTAAGTAACTCTGTCCTCGGTTGGTACCTCAGCAAGTCTGCTCATGATATCACTGATCCTGCCCTTATTCCAGTACCATCTCTATTTGTTTCTTAGGTATTTCAATTTAAAGTAATTTTGATCAAGTTAGTATCATGTAAGGCTGAATCTACTGTTACAAAAGTATTGTGGTGCCATCATCTTCTTAATGTACAGAAATAAAAGTGCTAACAGGAACCACAGACACTGGTCTCCACAGTTTCTTCTGATATTTAGTGAATCCCCAAGCACTTACCTGGATAATATCGGGCCAGGCCAGTGGCACTGCCAAACACTTGCCACAGCAATGTAGGGTCTTCATCTCGATTTCTTTTGAAAACTTCATCTAAGGCACTTGTCCAGTTGAGTTCATTTAACACGATGGTAGCTAACAAAAACAAAGGAAAATAATGAAGTTATTCAAATTTGTATCTTTTTTCTCTAACGTTATGTTACACATTCTCTATATTCTGTTTACGAAATATTGTAATTCAGTGGGGAACTGTCTGATGTCCTGTATAATGTCCAGCAGCCTCCCTAGCCTGCAAGAATTGGTTACAACACAATTCCTCCAGTCATTTGTGACAAGCAAAAATGACTTCAGACTTTGTCAACACCCTGACTCCTCCTACTTGTAAAAATCACTGCCAGTTGCAAACTGCCACGAGCTCTCTAAAAAAGCACAAGAAAAGGAATGTTGGTTTAAATACTTGATTGTCTCAGAGGAACTTACAAAAGAGTTTAAAGAACACAACTACTCATAATTCTCTGTGGTGTGTCCTGTTAACACACATTAAAAAATACAATTATCACAGACCATATTTATCATCTGTGCGCACACAACACCAAAATCACATACATAGTGTAGTTGAGGAAAAAGTCATTGAGGAGTTTGATAACATCAATATCAGAAACTAGGAACTAGCCAATGCCTCATGAAAACCTTTAAAAAACAGTAATTATGACTTTTTTCTCATTATTCAATTAATAACTAGAAAATATTGCTAACAAGGCCCAGGTGATATATTTTTTAAATTTTCTTTATTTTTATTTTATGAGTATGAGCATTTTGACTGCATATGCAAGTGTACCACGTGAGTGCTTACAGTCCAAAGAGGCCAAAAGAGGGCATTAGATTCCTTAGAACTAGAGCTACAGATGGTTGAATGGTGCCGTGTGGGTGTCGGGAACTGAAGCCAGGTCGTCCACAAGAGCAGAAAGAGCTCTTAGCTGCTGAGCCATCTCTTGGGCTTCCCTAGTAGGTTTTGACACCTATTATAACTGTTGACTGATCCTGGATAGGTATTCCAAACATATGCCAATCATTACAGTCAAAGAGGAGCCATGGGCCAGATACAGCATGAGTCAAAATAAGGTTTAAAGTTTTTGTCTTCATTACGTGATCATAGCGTCTTAAGTTTAACATGGCAAAAGCTTAACTGAGAGTCTGGGATTGTAGCTCAGTTGGGGCAGTGCTGGCTTAGCACAGAGAAGGCTCTGGGTTCAAATCCTAGCACTGTACAAACATGCATGTTGGCACACATGAATCCCAGAATGGAAGAGGTGGATATAAGAAGAGTTTGAAATCATCCTTGGCTCCCTAGTTTGAGGCTAACCTGGGATACATGGGCTCTTGCCTCAGAAGAAAAGTATAACTGGCTTAGAATACCATCTTCTCTGATCAGAAAAATATAATATAGACAATTCATTTTTCTTTCCCAGATATGTAAAGCATGATATTGTGCTTCCAGTAAATCAGCAGACTGGGCTTGAAGGTCACTATGCATATGAGAATCTGTAATTAAGCCTAGAAGTGGAAGACAGTGCTTTACTTCATTTTTCTTAAGATTAAAGGGATTTTTATTGATGCAAACCCTTTCTTCCTTTGGATTTGGGCATTTAGAGCTATAAAGCTTCCTTAATCACTGTTAGTTGCATTCTAATAGTTCTAGCATTCTGTGCCTTTAATTCATTCATATCAACGTATTTTTGTAATTTTTGTTATATTTTTCTTCTTCTATACATCTTTATGATTTCAGGAAACAACAAATACAACCCTGGTTTAATCAAAAACAGACTTTATAAAACTAAAATGAAAAAGAACTTTGATGAAGAAAGATGTGTATGTAGCATATCTGTTTATATTTTAAAGTCTGTAATGCTTACAAAAAGAAAAGTAACAATTTTTTAAAAAGGGAGCTGTAAAACCTTTCTAAACCACGCATCCTGATGCAGTTCTCATCATTGAAGACTAACAAGAATTTCATCTACATGGAAGTGATTACTTTCAAAAAGACCATTTTTTTTTTGGTGTTTGTGTTTGTGTGTGTGTGTGTGTGTGTGTGTGTGTGTGTGTGTGTGAATACTTATGAGCTGGGTCAGATCCACAGTGCATCTGAGATACTACCAAATTCGTATGCAAAGGGGTGAGTCCATGAACACTGAGTGGCAAGTTATATGGAAATTTATATTCACATAGATAACCTGAACTGATACCATTCATGAATATTTAAGCTAATATACAAATTATCGCAGAAAAAGAGGGACATAGTATTTTTCCTTAAACATTCATGACTTACATAGTAATTCTGCAGAACAAATATTGATGTTTATTAATGATCCAGAAACTTTTCATTAATCTTTGGTCTAGTCTATCTCTTTAATTTCCTCGGCTCAAATTCATATCAAGCAACAACTGACAGACAATTAGTTTGATAAAGTATTTGCTTGCAAAGATGCTGATTTTTTTCTTAATTTTATTAGATATCTTAACAATTATGAAGTAATAGGGATGAATACACGATAAAATCTATTACACATTGAGCAAAAAAAGGTAAGTTCTAATGTATTCCTATCACCATAGCAACATGTTTTAAAATTCTCAGTTTACCCATTTGAAAATCCTTTTCCAGATGAGCCATCACTTAAGATGGATTTCAAAATGTTTGTCTCAAAATGTGCACATCTAAAAACGAACAAAGCACATAAAGCAAGAGCACCTGGAACAATTTTCAAGTTTACACAGAAGGAAAGAAAGGATAATACGAACCTATTACATCAGCAAGACAGAAACTTGATATTCACTATGTAACGGGATGTCAGGATATAGATACTGGCATTAGTCAGGCTCTCTTTATAAGGACTTGTGAACACAACCATTGTCCTATTAGTCACCATCTTTATTTGAATGTGTAATGCCAGTAATCAACACACGAAGGTCTGCCTTGGTAATGCAGAACTAATATGCTTCTTCAGAGGACAATCTAACTCTGTCACAACGTGTAGTCTTTTAATTCAAAAATTCCACTTCCAGAGATTTAAACCATGGAGAAAGAACACTTTCAGAGTTCTTAATCAGAGTTTGTAGCAAGAATCATTCACTCACTTATGTTCTCCAAATTCCTTAAAAACACAAAATCCAGAGCTAGCAAGATAAACTCAGCACGTTTTCTTTTTTCTCTAATTGTACTGAAAATATCTGCAGTATAAATGAAAATATATAAACCATCAGAGCAAACAGGAGAGTAATTCTGTGTGCTATTTAAGAACCTTGCTAACTTAGTTATTTTTTTTCTGAAGCAGAATATGGACTATCTTTGATGAGTAGATTTTATTTTGATAATCTAAAATAAAGAGTTTTCTTCCTTTTCTTTTTCTTTTTTCTTTCCTGCTCTTTTTGAGACAGGGTCTCCCTGTAGTCCCAGCTGGCCTGGAACTCACTAACTATATAGACCAGGCTGGCCTTCAACTCACAGAGATCCACCTGTCTGTGCCTCCCAAGTGCTGGCATTAAAAGCGTGTGTCACCACGCCTTGCAGTGTTTTAATTCATAAAAAATCAATAGTACATCCAGGATTACTTAGGTTCCCAAAAGGTGTCCATGTGTATACTATTAGCATTCTCAGTGTAAACAGTGCCCACATACCTGGGCATTCCTCAGAGGATGGAATGATAAATCTGAGCACAATACCAGCATCATAAATTGACTTTGCCCTTTACTGAATGTAAATTCATCCATCTACCTTCATTTCATTTATATACAATCACTCTCAATCCACCAACCTCTCCCTCTCCCAATTTGTAATAGAATTTATTGAGGAAGATACTGTTAAAGTAACAATTGTGGTTGAAACTGGGTCACATGAAGAGCATATTGGAAAAGTTAAAAGTTCTTATTTGGGGATACTTTTGGCAAAAATAGCACAAAGGCTTTTTATGATTATGTCTTTTGCTAGCCTTAGCAAATATTGGTAATTTCTATTTTCCCAACATCATAATTTTTAAAATAAAAGGTACGAAACATTTTTTCTGCATTAGAAACAAAGCAAAACAAAACCAAATTCTCCAGAAAAATCACTCATTTCCAGGTACTATTGCTTTAGATTGTTAAGCCATATTATTCATTTAGATAGCATCATTACACTGAAAAAATATTTATAGAACTCTGACTCACTAATTTTCAAGAGATAATGAAATTTTTTTCACTTACAATTGTTTATTATAAAGATCGAAAATGCAATTGATACTGTATGTCATAGTTTTTATTTGAATATGAAGATATCCAGATTTAAAAGGCTTTTTACTGAAGAAATACCAATGCCATTTAGTAGCCCAATATTATTTCAGAATTACAAAATAATTTTCTTTACAACACTAACAAAATATGTTCTATTTAGACAGATAAGACTTTTAATTTTTATTATTTATTTATATATTTATTTATTTGTTTTTATCTGTATGAGTGTGCTTGCATATATGTAAGTGTACCAGTGTTGAGCACTACCTGTGGAAGACAGAAGAGGGTGTCGGATCCCCTGGAACAGGAGTTAGGGACAGTTGTTAGCCACCATGTAGGTGCTGGGATTGGTTTGACTGGGTCCTCTGCAAGAACAGCCAGTGTTCTTAGTTGCTGAGTCATTTCTCAAGCCCAGATACACTTTTTAAATGTTGGTTTTTATTTCTAACAGGTTATCCATGATTTCTTTAGTTATTTATAATTATAATGTATTTTATATTATCAATCACATAATACTATGTATTATATATTATATTCACAGCTGCCCTCCCTTGTCCACAAACCCCAAGGAAATACTCATATTTTACAGTCCAAAAACCTTCTCTGGCTTGGACTGATTTAGAAAATATCCATGCATTTTTCACTACAGAAACTAATCAATGCAGATCCAACCTTGAACCGACTGACTGTTACTAACTCAGCATCTTGGCTAAGTATCCTACTTCTACTTTAAGAGTGAAGTTAGCTCTAATTTTCTGTCAACTTCCACAAAATGAGTATCTTTATTTTAAAAAATTTCCACTTTGTTCAAATTAAGTCCTTGATAGACATCCAAGGCCAAGGCTGGGTATGTGGAAAGCAGCCTTGACCCT